CAGCAGCAGTTCATGGAGGGACATGCAGCCGGCCTTACCATGATGTTCTGGAAGGTGTAGTGGACTGGATCCGGGAAATCAGTCTTGGTCTCGCTGGTCAGGAAGGCACTCACAACCCTGGAATTTATCCGGACTGGCAAGACAGAGGTGTCCCTTTGGCCATGGAAGAAGCTGCCATTCAGGATGGACTCCAGGCCCACGTAGGAGGCAAACGCCACTCCAGCCCGGGCTGCAAGTATCCCCAAGGAGAAACCAGGTGTTAGCGGCTTCTTTACCCGCATTGCGCTGAGGAACTCGCAAAGCACTGTACAACTCCCCCGCTTCAGGAGCTGGGTAATGTATCACTTCAGACCCTCACACGGATAAAAACAAGGCACAGAAAAGTAACACAATGGCACAGCAAGCCAGCAACAGAGCGGGAAGAGAACCCAGGTGGCCGGACAGCCAGACTTCTACTTAGAACTGCAGCTCAGCTGGCACTGACGACAAGACAGAGGGGCTGTCCATAAATTACGGAACGCAACAGAGGGCAGGGGGCTCCTTAACGTTGTGTATTTATTTCAGTGTTACAGTGTTATAAGGGATGGGCGGATCTTGAAAATCCCCCCAAATGTGTGACAGTTTTTGGAGAGCCCCTGAAGCTGGTTTTCTGAAAACGTCTGACATTAACAGAGCTAGATCGAAAAGGTTTTTTTTCCCCTGGTGAAAAGCTTGAGTTTGGGGCAAAAAAAAAATGGAAACCAAATTTTTGATTTGAAAATGCCACTGCAATGCCTCCTGGGAGTTGTGGTTCGGGTGCCTTGTGCTCCTGTTTCTCCTCTATGAGCCAGGCTCCCTGGTTGGTCTGCATCTCCCATGATGCACCATGGCAATTATCTAGCCACAGTGTATCATGGGAGATGAACCCTGGCTGGAGAGCCTGGCCTGTGGAGGGGAATGGGAGCATGAGGCATCAGGAACATGATTTCAGAATCGAGATATTTTAGGTCTTCAGCCAAAAGCAGAAAATATTTCAGGTTGGAGGGCGTTTGGGGCAGCCAGTTTTTCAAGACGCAATCTAAGTTTCCTGCAGAAATCAGCCACTTCATGAAGAATTGCATTTTCTGAGGACCCAGTTTTCCACTGAAGTACAGTGTAGATGGAACAGTTTTGACCAGCCCTCATTCTTAATTCTTCTAGTTCCCTTGATTCTAGCCAGCTTGACTAGGACAGAAGGAATTTACATTTGTAGGCGTAAGAACCCAGGAATTGCCATTCCATCACAGAGCCCTGTTCTGTGAGCCCTGTATCCCAAATCACATCAATGGTGCATCTAGTTCACTTTCCCATCTGTCTGTGTCAGCCTGGGAAATCCGTCTCATGCCCTCTGGTGGTGGTCACGTACCTTGTGCCTCTGATCCCTGGATCGTTCTGCAGCTAATCTTCATGGTCTCCCCTTTGACTTTCAGGCTGATGACTGAGTCCTTTCCGGGGCAGCTGTCCTCAATGACTTTGGTCTGGACAGCTAAGGAGAGGGGGAAAGAGCACAGTCTGATACAGCACAACGGCTCCTCGGGCAGGGGCCGTCACTCGCTCTGCAGAGCCAATCCGTGGTTGACGGCCCAGAGAGAGAGGGAAACGGAGAAACACGTCCAGCTGAGAGGGGAAGAGGCTTTTGTGCCCACAGGAAAGAGATAGGGAGGAAGTTTCATGGGGCCCTTGGACCAAGCCTCTCCCCAGGGGTTTAAGAACAAGGGAGGACTGGGGACCTGTAGATGTACTTTTGAGAAAGTAACAGACTTTTTAGATAAAGAAAATGCGGTGGATCTAATATACCTCGATTTTAGTAAAGCGTTTGATACGGTACCGCACG